TGGGGGGCAGCCCCCACCTCTCGAGGGGCCGGGCCCCCCCCCCACAGCCAGCCCCAGTTGCCCTCGCTGGAGCAGAGGGACCATGCATGGCAGAGGCCCCCCCACCTCTCGAGGGGCCAGCCCTGCTTACTGAGATCGCCAGTGCCGTCTCTGCGGTGCCAGCATGAGCAGTGGCTGGGGGGGGCCCCCCGGCCCCGGGGGCTGCCCCTGGTGCCATGTCCTCCCCCTCACCGGTGAGAGGGAGCGAAGTTCTGTCACGGGAACGGCCCCTTTCCCAGTCTTGGTGCTGTGATCCTGAAAGAAGAGCAGACGGGCGCGTTGGCTTGGATGCAACACAGGGGCAGACACGGCAGGTCGCCCTCCACAAACATCCCCAGTAGGGCAGGGTCCCCCCCCCAGCACAGCCAGCCCCAGTTGCCCTCGCTGGAGCAGAGGGACCATGGGGGGCAGAGGCCCCCCCACCTCTCGAGGGGCCAGCCCCGCTTACTGAGATCGCCAGTGCCGTCTCTGCGGTGCCAGCATGAGCAGTGGCTGTGGCGTCCCTGCTGCCCAGGGTGCCTCCCTCCACCTGCCGGGGCAAAGGAAACCTGATGAGCCTGGAGGTGCCAGGGAGGGAGTGACACTCGCAGGGACAGTGTGGTCATCCTTGCTGGCAGAGAAAGCCGGGGAGGGCCATGAGGCCACGGACACATGCGGCGCAGCATGTATAGTGGCCGTCGCTCTCTGGAGACATCCCCATGTGCCAGCGCTGCCCAGAGACATGGCAGATGGGACAAGGGACTCACACAGAATACCTCTGGGTGGGCTTTGGTTTGATGTTTTGGGGGCTCCAGCAAGACAAGGGTGAGCAGATGCCCCCAACCACTCCACTCAGCCACCTGCCCTCCCAGCACTGCTGCCTGGGGACAGGTTTTGCTGGACTGAGGCTTGGCAGAGCCATCAGGGAGCAGGGCCACAGGAGGATGGAGCCACCACGTCACCTGGGCTGCATCTGTGGTGCTGACCCAGTGGGGAGCGGAGCTGTCTGCTTCAGGCTTCTTCATGCCCGGCCCCAGGCCGACAGTCACAGCATCCGTTTTCGGGGCTGATGACTGCAGAAGAAACACAGCAAGTCAGGCACTGGGGCACGATGCCAACAGCCCTAGGTGCTCCTTGTCCACCAGCCTCCACGAGCAGAGCATCCCCGCCCCACTCCCCTGCAAGTGTCACACACGTATGACGTCCTGCAAGCGTCATGCCCCTACCTGGGCAAAGAACAGAGGCCAGGCTGCTGGCCTGGGCAGGCGGCCACCATGCAAAACGCCCTGTGTGACTGGCATACCCCAAATCAGACCTGATGCTCTGTCCCTGGGGTTTTCAGGGATATTTTGGATAGATTTATAGACACCATGGGTTAGGTCAAACTGGTCTTCAAAAGGTGAGTGAGACCCACCAAATCCATTTCACTCGTGCCCCGCAGCAGGTTTATGATCTGCACCAGCTCCCAGCGGCTGTGGTTACACCCGGGGTGTCAGAACCTCGGGGGAATGGAGACAGGTTTCCAGCACTCCCCTGCTACAGGAAACTGGAGCTGCCGAGGGCTCCTGCACAGGGGATGCTTAGCCAGTCCTCAGCATTCCCGAGCCAACGGCCTCCCCTGCCCAGTGCCAGCCATGGGGCACTGCAGAGCTGATCACCCATGCCCATGGCCCCGCTGTGACCCTGGAGCCCACGGCGTCGGATGCTCTGCACAAGGGTTTCCAGGCTGGCTCAGAGAAAGCTCCCTCTAATTCTGCAGCTTTTTCCTGGCTCCAGGTCTGGACTCACCCTGGCAGCTCCAGGCAGTGTTGGGGACTTACCTGCCAGGGCTGGAGGGCTGCCCCAGTGCTGACCGGGCAGCAGATGGCCCTGGCCTGGCGCAGAGGCAAGGCTACGTTTCGTCCGAGCTGGGGCTGGCTCTACCGTCCTCTCCCTGTGGTGTACACTCAACTTCCAGACGCATGCCGCATGCATTTTTCTTAGCCCCATTATAATCACTCCCGTCATAGGAGTGACCCTCCACGAGCTTTGGAGCGGCTCCCACAAGCTACTCTGTAAATCCCTCCCAGCCCTGACATGACCAGAAAGGTTAGCTAGCAGCACATTTCTCTTCACTACACAAACTGGTCACTGACCATGCAAAACACAAGGACAGAGCCGTTGGTTAGTGACACGTGCCCTTCCCAGCTGCTGACATGCTGTAGTGGTGCGAGGGACAGGGTAGGCAGCCAAACGTAGGGGATTAAGAGATGACGATGACTTCTCCTGGTTAGCAGATGCACAAAACACGCGACAGAGCCATGCAACACAGACGACAGCTTGCATCAGGGGAAAACAGCTACACCAGACAGGAACCTGGGGATGTTTGAAAGCTAGCATGCTCTTCCAAACCAACGCGGGAGTGCACATGAGTGAGGCAATACCAGGCACCAGGACAAGGAACATGGAGGCGTGATGGCACTGAGACAGTCTCGGTGGAATGGTGTCCCTGTGTACCTCTAGCTGGGAGACATCTGGGCTGGGCTGGGAGACCTTCTCGCTGCCTTTGACATCCTCTTCCAGTCCGGGAACTACTTTGTCAGCGTGCTGGAAGGAAACCAGGCCTTCGTCTTCCATTTCACTCTTGTTCTTGTCCAGCTCAGGCAGGCTCCGGGAGATGTCCTCAAAGGCTGTGCCGTGGAAGTCACCGATCACTGTGAAGTCCACCTCTGCTTCCAGGCTGGAGGTTGAACTGACTGTGATGCTGGAGCACTTGCGCTCAATGGCCAGGTGGTTGTCCTTCAGAAAGACCGAGTCTTTCTCCTGGTCCTGCTCCTCATCGCCGGTGTCACTCTCAGGAGCCCTGTGCCGAGGCGGCTTAGCTTTCTCCTCGGTGCCCTCCCTCAAGCCCGCTCTCTGAATGAGACACAATGGCGGAGAGAGACGGAGACAGTGAGCACCGCATGGCGTGGCAGCGCTGGCAGTGCCGATGGGGGAGAGAGGAGGAGGAGGAGGAGAAAGAAGGCTGCAGCAAACATCACAGAGTAGAGTCAAACACAACTCAAGCATGGAGACTGAAACCTTTCTGACAGCAGCAACTTTGCAGGGTGGGGTGGGAGGAGAAGGGTTATTCAATCTGATTTTGCCAAAAGTCTATTGGTAATTAATCATCTCAAAAAAGGGTCAGTCACACAGAAAAGCTTGGCCAGCTTGGAGGCACGTCAGTGCACCCGGTGGAAGCAGATGTATGCAAAAGAACAGGTCTGTTAAGAGACATTCAGAAACAGCTCAGACGCCAGTGCTATCATATGTCACTAAGGTTGGGCACTCAAAAAAACCAAACAAAGGGAAAGCAAGAGAGAAGAGTTTGAAAGAAAACGGCCCCATCAGCAACGCACAGTGAAGGAGAAACAAAGGAGTGTGCCAATTCCACTGAGCATCCGCGTGGGCCCTGCAGAGCATTGCCCCAGGGGGAGGAGGACCAGCCCCGCTGGGGCCGCCCACCAGCCCTGCACGCCGGGGCAGCTGCCTGCACCGGGGCGTGAATCTGCCCTCACCGACACAACGCTCTCCCTCCAGAGGCCTCACGCAGCTGGGGGTGAGTCTTAGGGATGACCTGGTTGAGTGTTTGGTCAGTGTAATTGACAGCATGATCAGAGCCAAGGGATGACCTCCCTCCATTAGCTCTTCTCCAGACATGGACATACCTCTCAACTCTGCCATCAGAGGGTACATTTCCCCTCGCCATGTTTTGCCATGAAGCCATGGGAAATCTAGACCCATTGCTGGACTTTGCATCTCGTTCTAGGCAGTTCTCCCTTAGGAACAGCTCTAAGCCCACTGATGCCAGAGGAAACCCACCTCATGGACTCTGGTCCAAGCGTTTGCAGCCAGAGCCATCCCCCCCAATGGGCCAGGCTGTGCCGGCACAACCTTCCCTTGGCACTGCTGGGAGGTTGAGAGGTATGAGAAACAGGGTGTCAAACAAACTCAAGAGGAACACACCTGCATACATGTTTTCGTGTGTGTGTGCGTGTATAAATATATACATAACAGCTCTGCAATGGGGAGAGGAGCTGGAAGCACACAGCCCTCAGCTGCTTAAGGTGAGCTTTCATACTACGGTAAGAAGCAGTTAGTAAAACAGCACTGAGACCTGGAAGACCACTGGAACAGCAGTCTTTAAATTCTCTTCTTTCAGGCTGGATTTTACTGACGGGTCAGATAAATCCTTTTCTTCCCCACTTGGTTCCTGAGATTTGCTCTGGATTAGAGAAAATGGTTAGTTGTAAGGAAATTAACTCTACAGGAGCTGATCTAACACTTACAAGAGCGAAGAAAGCTATTTCATCACCCAGCCACCAGCTTGCCGAAGACAGGGGAGGGTGGGTGAGGCTGGCGAGCTAAGCAAGAAGGGATATCAACGTAAGAAATGCAAGGGTGAAGCTGGAAGCGTGGGCACGCTGCTGCTAGGTGTGTGTGCGTGTCCGTGACAGAGTCGCAGCTCCTTCAGCCACCCCCCGTCTCCCTTTCTTGCTCCTGGACATGAAGCTTGGGTGCCCGCTCTCAGGTTTAGCGAGCGGCATTCTCCAGGGAGCCAAAATGTCAGGGAGGGGTCACAAAACAAAAGCTGATGAACCAACTGGCCAGCGGGTCTGCATTCAGCAAATAAGCCTGACCACACACATACACATAAAAGGACAGGGGATGCAAAGCGACTGCTGTCAGTCAATGGATGTGTGAGGAGCCACTGAACATGATAATAAAGAGCCACACAACATGCGCATGAACTTTCCGTCTGGACAGTTCATTGGAAGAGTTACCACGGCTTCTGCCAGTGTGAGTTCACAGCCAGAGTCAGGGGAGGCCAGGTCAGCACTGTCTTCTGCTTCGTGCTCCAGGTCAACAGAAACATCTTCCTTCAGAGAAAGAGGCTGGGAAGTGTCTCCTGAACCAGCCCCTTGCCCGAGGGCCAAGGAGCCCACACTGGACACAGGTCCCACTGGAGTGACCGGCACTGCCGGCAGTGAGGCGAGGCCTGTGTTCAAAAGCATGTCCTGTGCCAGACCTGTCTTCCCCTTTGCTTTTGCTGATGTCTCAGCTTCACGCACACGCTCTTGTCCCTCCTGGGCTGCCCTTCGCTCCGCTTCGCTTTGCTCGAATATCTTAATCTTAGAGGCCACTGAGGTTTTCCTGTAGCTCTCGCTCTCCTGCCAGCTACCTGGGGCCACAGTGACATCTCCATGCTCCTGGGACACAGCTCCTGTCCTCCCAGCCACGCTCATCAGTGACCCAGACTCTATTTGATGTGTCCCACTGCTCGCTCGCAGCTCTCCCCCGCCTTCATAGATCAAGGTAGAGAGCCGGTATGTCTTGCTTCCTTGACACAATCCTGCTACAGGGGAGTGGGAGTGCGGGAAATCAGCGGCTTCTTTGGGAGGAGACTTACCCTGTGGTGGCTGCCCCGGAGCAAAGTCACCGTTCTTGGCAGTTTCTCCTACTGTAGGGCTCCTGCCCTGCAGATCTTGTCCCACATTAAACTCCAAGTCCCAGGGTGGCTCTTGTGCTTCAGGATCTGCACTGTGGAGCAGCCCTCCAGCCATGGGACCCTCTTGGGGCAGGTGTCTTATTATGGCCTCAGTCTGTTGTTCTGGTTCTTCTCCCTTAGAAGGCAGCTCTTCCATACAAGGGCTTTTGTCACGAGACAATTCTTCCATCCCACAGCCTTCATCTCCGGTCAGCTTCCCTGATGTGGGCCCTATGTCCTGGGAGAGCTCTTTTATCATGGGCTGCTCCTCCTGGAGTGGCTCTTCTGTGGCAGGGACTTTGCTCTGGATTGCCCTCGCTGTGACAGGGTCCATGCCCTGGGCCACCTCCCCTGTGGCTGGGTCTCTGACCTGGGTCGGCTCTGCTGCAGTATCTGTGTTTTGGGGTAGTCCTCCTGCAACAGGACTTGCACCTTGGTGTGGTTTCCATGTAGCAAAGCCCATGTCTTGGGGTTGTTCTTCAGATTCAGGATTGGCACCCCGCGGTATTACCACCTCTGCTACAGGGCGCACGTCCCTGGGTGCTCCTTTGCCTACTACAGGGCTTGCCTCCTTGCGTGCCACCTCTGCTGAGGGGTTCACATCCTTGGGTATGCCCACACCTCTTACAGGGCTGGTGCCCTGGGACAGGTCTCTGCCCTCAGGCTCTGTAGGGGCAGGGCTGGATTGCTGGGGAAAGGGCATAGGGGCAGGAGTGCTGGGTTTATCCCCCTCCGACCCCGTGGTGGTGTGAAGGTGGCCCTGCCGAGGCACAGCTGATGGAAGCGACTTGGTGTCTATCTCCTCCATCTGAAGAACCACTCTATCACTTTCCTCCTTGTCACCGTCTGCTCCAATCCTTCCTGAGAGCCCCTCCACTGCCATGCAGATGTCTGGGCTCTGTACTGGGCTCCCTCTATGCTCCTCAGCCCCATGGCCGTCCCCTGCCAGGCCACACGGCTTCAAGCCTCCCACTGGGCTTTGCAGATCTGTCTCCTCTGGTCCTACCTCTCGGGAACACAGTAGGGCTTCACCTCCCTTGGGTGCTTCGCAGCTTGTCAGCCCAGCAGATGCTTCCTCTTGCTGTAGGAGCAGACCTTCCTCCCGCCCCGAGGTGGGACGTCCTGTCAGGCTGGACCCATCACAGCCTGTCCTGGGCTGCTCCAGTGCTTCAGCAGGTTTCACAGATACTGCCCTGTGTTGCTGACTTGCTGAGGAAGGGGGTTGGAATCCTTCTGCTGCAGGTGCTGTGTGCCCGGATCCCTCCCCGGACGTGTTCACAGTGGCTTCTGGTCTCTCTTCCAAGCCAAGCCATCCACCAGTCTCCGAGAGCAGGTGTGTTTTACTGTCCTCCTCTCCCTCTGGATCTCCTAAGTAGATGATCCTCTGGGTCGCAGAAGTCTCCAAGCTGTCATCGCTAGCCTTCACTTTAATTTTAATGAGCTCTGTGGCTGCGGCTGGCACTCTGGCCTCCTGCTTCCCGGAGGCTGCAGAAGCATGCTCCTTGGAGGCCACCTCGCTTTCTCCCTGGGGAGGCTCTGGCCTCAAAATCTTGGCCCTTTGCCTCTCTTCAGGCTGCTGACATGGCTTGGGCAGACCTGGCTCACTGGTGGTTACTTCCCCACCCTGCTCTTGGGGCTCCTCCTCTGTGCTCTCAGCTGGCAGGTGCTCTGTCTCCTGGCTGGGCTTCCCCCTGGTTTCCTTCTCATAGATCTCATCCTCCCAGACAGACTCAAAATCCTCTGGACTAGCGATCATTTTTGCTCTCATCCGGGTATCCAGGGCTGCATCTGCTGGCTCTTCCTGGCCTGCCACTTCCTTGGCTTTCCCTACTGCCATCTCCACTTTCGATATGCTCGCACTCATTTTCACCTCTGAGGTACCTGCATGTGCTTCTTCTTTCTTGACTCCCAGAGCTTTCTTTACAGCTACCGCTTCCAGCCTAGGAGTTTCTCTCTCTATAAATACCCAATGCTCCGAGCCCTGCATTGCAATTGGAGCAAGAAGAGTTAGCATCAAACATACTTTACCTAGCTGCTGATGACTGCTGTCATGACTAACAGAAAGCTGATCTGCCTCGGACAGGGCTGACTAAATTATTATTATTATTATTATTATTATTATTATTATTATTATTATTATTATTATTATTATTATTATTATTATTATTATTATTATTATTATTATTATTATTATTATTATTATTATTATTATTATTATTATTATTATTATTATTATTATTATTATTATTATTATTATTATTATTATTCATGCAAGAGTTGAGGCTCATGCAAGAGTTGAGGCAGGGTCTATACGAAGAGCCTGGCAACTTGCTGATGGAGAGAAGGGACTGAAAATAAGGGGGCTGATGCCGTGACGGGGACTGAGCCC